TTGATATACTATAAATATGATGGAAATCGCGTTTAAAAATATTAAAGATATCAAATTTTATGGTATAATATAATAGTCTATAAGTACCTAAAAAACTTTGATTGTATTTCTGACATTATTTTTTAATCAATTTAATTTGAAAAAAAAAATTTAAATCGTATACAATATATAATTAAGTAAATTTAGTAAGAATTTTTGTTGTAATACAATATTATAGTTATATAATATTGTTTTTAATAATAAATAGAAAATGAATTAAATGTATGAAATTAATATCGTTTTAAAAAATTAAAATTAAATAACAAATATTTTTTCTAAAATTATTAAATTTAATGTGTGAAATTTATGTTTTCATGATTTTTATGACGTTAACTTTTATCGAATTCAATGAAAAATAAATGTTCTCACGTCAAAATCTAGAGAAATGATTTTTCTAACGAAAATAAACCTCAAGTGTCTGTATTTCTACTCACAATAATACTAAAATATTAGTAAGTATTAAGTATAATATACTGTTAAAAATTATTATGAATTTGTTTACCAAGTATTTTATATGGAAATTTGAAATATTATTATTTTTTCTACCCTGTATGAACATGATTTGATTTTAGCAACAAAATGTCATTTGCTTGCTTTACAAAATAGAAATTTAACACATTTGTTCAAAACAATAGTTCATGTAAACTTAATTAATCGAATTATCTGTCAGTTAAATAATTACATTTTATAATAAATGATAATAACGATACAGCTATTATTCAAATTATTTTATTTAATTTCAGAATTTCATGCAATTTCAGAGATAAACAATATTAATTTATAAAACATTGATCACCGGAAGATATATATCTTCATACATACATCTATATATATACATCTATCCCTACTATAATAAACCATCAGTATTATCGTTATTGTTTAACATTTAACAAATACGCCGCTTATGAACAACTTCATAACGGTACTATAGTGTAACACACGACATAACTTGAATAATATTGGGATTTTGATACCTCAAAAAATTACACAAAAGCTTAAGAATACTAAAAATAAATGCACTATAAAAATTTGTTAAAAATGTATATTTTTCTAATTAAAAAAATTATGCAACTAAAGCGTATTTCAAATGATGAATCAGTGACTAGTAGATAAAAATATATCACAACAATTTAAATATGTCAAAAATAAGCAAGAGTCATTCAAAATGGCTGAAACAAATTTTATACTTACACAGCTGCGTCAATATTAGAATAAAAAATTACGTTACATTAAAATAATTCCAGAGCTATAGTTATGAATAATTATGATTTTAATATAATATATTGTTTGAGATCTATAAAAGAGGAAAGACCTAACCTAAACGAAACAAGAGGAAAAATAATAAATGTATTTTATTTTTTAACGTTATTAACTAATACTTTTTACTCGTTCAACTAAACTTCAAAAATGTTTTGCTCCAGCCACAGATATTGTGCACATTTATAATACGATTTATGTGTGTACACATCATGTTATATACATATATCATATATTATGTAACCGTATTCAAGTATAATAATATAGAACTACAACACGATAAGACAAATCGTAGTCACACACATGACAAGATACATCAACCTAACACTGATGTAACAGAATGGTAAACTGCTCGAATAATGTAAACCATACTGTATTGTATATTATTATATAAATAAATACGTTTGCACGAGACGTAAGTTGTTTGTTGTTGTTGTGTATACGATCAAAGAATCGCGCGAGGTGTGATGCGAAATACTTAAAGACGGTGCGAGCGAAGTGCCTGCTTGTAACCGTACCCCGCCGCGTAGGTTTAATGCACAGACTACAGAGGTACACCTACAATATGGCATGTGAATAATCTTAAATCTAATAAATTACGTATACCATTATTATTGTTACTATCATAATTCCGTCATTATTCGCTATCGCTGTATTTATCGCAGTGTGCAATGTAAATAATATTATACATATATACGTGTGTTCTTTAAAGAAGAGGAGTTGAATTATTACGATTGTCTATAATATAACAATAATAATGTATTCCTACTAACCTAAATAGTCTCCGTGCTGTTTTAACGGGGTGACTTAATATATAATTACGTTATTAGGGTATATCTGAAAGTCGACAAAGTGTGGATATCAAAATAAATATTAAATAAATAAAGTTTATTTTATAACTGATTTGGGATCAGGGGCGTCCTTGTGGGGGTGAAAAGATCGCTCTCCCGTCGGTGAGATGGACTGAATTACATAGTAATTTGTCAATTTTATAATTTATATTAAATTACTTGACATTTTTTTTTCTTATACCTGCAATGAAATCCGAATATCTTGCTATCAGAAATACATAGATTAACAGGTTTGGCGCTTTTGACATACATTTTGTTATTTAAACCAATAAAGTAAATTTGTATACTATAATGACCAAAGACCGGATTTTTGAACAGCTAATAACTAAATAATGTGCATTTAAAATGTTAAAATGTGCAAAATTGTGCAAAAACAAAATTTTCATTATAGGCACTTCAAATTTTATTTTTTATAATATTATTTGTCAGTTGATATTAACTGTTTGAGTATCTATATATATATTACCTATATATTAAAATATAAAATTAAAAAAACAATTTTAATTTAATTTAAATAAAATATTACTTAACTGACAATAGGCGTGTGTAAATAACTGGCTTTACAATATTTGATTAAAATTTATAATCATTTACATTCCCAAGTTTTTTTCCATAAAATTATGTCCATTTATCAGTATTTTAAATTAAAATATATCAAGTAATAATTATCTACTAAAAATTGTTGTATATGATTGTATACATTTTTACTTACGTACCTAAAATATCATATAATATTGGATACCATTTTAACGAGCACATCATGAATTAATATTTGGATTTCAAATAAAATAAATAAGAAAAAAAATTAAATAGTATGAAAAATATTCTACGTTGACATAATGGCATTTCTAAATAAATATAATATTTAGTATATATTAGATTTTCTATTGACAATATTATTGTATTATTGAACGTATGTCTATGACGCTCATGTAGTACATTTTCATTGCTGAGACAAACCCTCCAGTTCCGGCAGTTACTCATAAACATACGCTATGATTTAGTACATTATAAAATACTTGAAAACATTCCAAATAAGTTTAAAATAGTATAATATATTTAACTCTATCTACATTATAAAATTAATATAGGTGTGGCCAACGATACCGTCAAACCCGGGTATAGTAGTTCACTCATTTTACTCGAAATCCAAAACACTATTTTAAGAACAACTTTTATAATATTATTTTAATATTTTATTTACTTTTACCTGAATTTATTGTTGTTAAAAACATTATTCAATTAAATTACGTTTTTTTATAGCTTTAAAGAAGTATATATCACTGATTTTTCAATACGTATCAGAAGAAACAGAAAAAAGAATCTACAAAGTATAATAAATTATAATAATATCTGTCGAGATTATCGGTGCTTAAAATATTTTTATTTTTTTTAGCAAAAGTGTTCAATCAACAATCTACTTTATTTGTAAATAATGTAATCGATTGATAGTACATTGAGTTTTTAAATAGTATCTAACGAGTTTATTTCGGCACGCATCTACATCCAATGGAAACAATCATTACCTATCTTGGATTTATAATAATCCGATCCTAATATATATTGTGTTTACCCTTCTTGACTTTTGTAGCACCAAAGTCGTTTTTAACGGTCTAAAATCCATCCAAATATCAAACCACAGGTATTTACTTTTCGATTCTGTTAATTTAAGGGCTCTGGGAAATCATCGCAATTATCTGTTTACATAATATACAACCTCAGATAACCAAAAAAAATATGCAGTATAAAGGAATTAACGAGTTGGATTTAAATAATTATACAAATGTCAATAGTCAAAATATTCATTTTCAACAAAAAAGTAATTTTAGCCATTTATAAGTTTTTTATGATAAATTAATTTAATTTTTAAACTAGTACAATTTAACTAAACAATTATATTAACTCTGCATTTTATTCTATTTAAATTAATAGACATTTATAACATTATTTATTACCTGAATTTCTTACTTTGGTTAAAACAAATAAGTGTAACATAATATTAACATTACGTATAGTTGTATATATTCGGGCTATTAATTGCAACATGCTATTAACTGTGATTCAGCTATTCAATGAACGTATAAAGTTCAAACCATATTTATGAATAATCGTGAATTTTATCCACCACCATGTTTACTGTTTCAATCAATAATAATATATTATCATATATAATTATGCAAAATAATATTCGATATTTTATTTATATAGAAATGCAAAACAAAATTTTCGTTATGACGATGATTATTAAAAGGGATAAAATGTGTGATCAGTACGATTTGGTCGGTGTTAAAACATGTAATATATAATAGTTTATATTGTTTATAGACAATAAATGACGACAAGCATGACACTGCACATTTTGTTATATGTAATTATTTTGATACGAAAATTTAGACATTTGTGATAATATTATAATATCATAACATACGTCGCAATAAAATTTGAAGTAAGTCATATGCATAAATTGTCACATAGATAGGTACTATATAATTCTTTTAAAAATTGTAAAAACATATTTTCTTAAAACGTTTAAGATTTAAAAAAAAAAAAAAAACAATTTATATAATTTAAAGCCACTATATATGTAAAAATAAAATGATTGAAAGGAATTTCATTTTTTCTAGTTATTCTAGTTGACTTTTTTAAATGATGACGTGCATTTTAAATTTCGTATTCTGTTTAAGAATATTAAACAAAAAATGAATGTTTTCAATAAGATATGTAAACATATATTAAATCCAGATTATGCAAAAAATACATTTTTAAGAACATTAAAGCTTTTTGAAAAAAATAATGTTAAACCGTTAAAAGAATCACCCTGTACTTACAAATAAATACTATAATAATGTTTTTCACGATAAATAGTGGACACGTGCGAGGCCTGTACTCGTAGGAGCGGTTTCGAAGACCATGAATCGGTCCCTTTGAGTCGATGCCGCGGACAAATAGCACGAGACCGACGACGGCGACGCTCCATTTCCGAACTCTCTGCTTAAATATCGCTGGTGCTTCCGGATACCAGGACAGTGTGATAGCTGGACCAAACGTTGTGACATGGACGACAACGACAACTATTACTATTGTTACGATTACTATCTCGATGATAATGGCGACGACGAAAGGGACTTCCGTCAGGATTTTCCCGAAGAATGCTGCTGGGAACAGGTCACGGAACCGGTTGCTCTGCAAGATTTGGCCAAACAGGTTGCCGGTGGCGAACTTCCAACAATCTCAGCCCGTAAAGGTACGAAATATTATCATTACTATAGTCTATCCTATAGTTTCCAAGGTAATGGATATCCGTTCAAAATATTTATTTACAAATACTTAAACAAATGTGCAATTTATTTTATCATCAATAAATTATGGAGAAAATAAAAATGTGATAAAATAATGTTTCAAAAATATTTTTAATTGAATTTACATTTATACTAGATTTTTCTTATGTGTTGGCAGATGAGTATCCAATAATGTTTAAACGTAACATTATTAAAAAATATAATATCTAAAATGTTTAATAATTTTTATATATAAATAAAATTATCCTTTTGAAAATAAAGGTAATTAATTTATATTTTCAAGTTCTATTAAGTTTATTTTTTAAGTCTATTTTCAAGTCGTATTAACATAATTAATATAAATTGAAAATAAAAGTAAAAATATGGCTATAATATACAATAAATATTATAATAATTCTTCATTGATTGTTTAAAGTTTTTAAATACCAATGATTATATTAATATTAAGTATAACTTATAATTTATAAGTAAGAAACATTTTACATAATCACATATGATAAATTTAAATCTATCAAATATATTATTGCTAGGTAAAAAAACTCATAAAAACCATAAAATATAAATGTTATAATTCAACATACTTTAACATAATAGGTACATGTTATATTATATATATAGTTTAAAAAAAGTATTATTCCTTTAAGTTATATTACTCAAATTATTAGAGTAGTTTATTTAAATAATAGTAATCAAGATTTTTGAAACATGTCACGCCATTTTCGTTTGTGTTACAGAATAAAAGTTTATAATCTAAGTGTTTTTAAGTTATTTTTTAATAATACAGTTCATAAAATAATTATTTATAATAAATTCAAACTCTGCAAAATGGGTGTTCGATTATTTGTAAGTGGGTGAAGAGGACTTCCCTTGAAGACTTTTTGACGTAGATATATTGAGTTATTCAGCTATTAGATCACGATACCATTTGCTTTTTAAGTATCTTTCAGGTACACTAGGAATGATGAGAACTAATAGGTTGGTTTGGAGTGGATTTCGATAGCTTTGTAGATGGGAACAAAATATTTTATAAAGTGTTTACACATTTAGGTGAAAGAAATAGAGGGATCATTATAAAGTATATGGTTAGATATATAATATGGAAATGTAATGATTTGACGGAGACATTTAAATTGAAAGGTTTAGATATATTTTATGTTAGAGGATTTGGTTAAGCTCTAGGTAGGAGTTGAATTTTACGATTAAAAAAAAAAAACATATTTTTATTACATATTTTATTGAACTAATAAAACTACTTGATTACTTAGTTTTATTGCAATACATTAAATAAATAAAAAATAAACTTTTAGTCTTAATATTTTATACAACTTTTCATGACAATGAAAATAATTTTTTAACATTTAAAAATTTTTAAAAACTATTATTATTATTATTATTATTATTATTAATATCATAAAATGTGATTTTTATTTATATATTATACACAAAATATTCAATAACTCTTTTATCGTATGTATTGTATGTTTAAGCTACTGACAATATAAATTAAATATTAATACATCATGCTCATTGTTTAAATACCTATTTAGATTTTTTAACCTTTATAACTTATTATAGTATAATACACAAAATATAACGATATATCACTAAATAATTTTTTATACCACAAAATTTAAGTTATACATTGGATGTTAATTTATTTTAATTTACTATAAATCAATTAACAAATACAAAGGATTAGTATCAACAATTATTATTATTATACTATGCTATAATATACGTATTGTAGGGTTTATTGACGCAGAGATTAACAAAATAACCTTATAATATATTTTTATGATGAAATCGTTAATTTACCTTTTCTGTATCTATTAGCTTAACCATTAGGTCCTAATGGGTTGATAAAAAAAAAAAAAAATCATAAAAAATTAGGATTATATTATGAAAATATCACTAGCCAAATGCGTAGGATTATTTATTCATGAAATTTATTTAGAGGTAAAAATTTTAATGATATTCATATTTTATTCAACTGATTTCAATGCTATCATAATAAAATAAATACTTATTTCTCTACTTTATAATCACACATAAGTATAATATATTTCATAACAACTTTAGAATAATGAATGTACACATTTTTCAAAACTAAATCTTTTATAACTGAATAAATCTAAAAAAAAAAGTAATATATTTAAATAGAATATATTCATAGGATGATTTTCAAACGATATACTTTTTTGACATATGCCAGGAAAATTTGTTTTGGTGTACAAACATAAAGTTTGTTAAACTAGAAACTAAAAGTTTCTTCCGCATGAGTTAGACATTTTTAATGTACAATAGTTATATTTCCAACGATTTAAACACTTCAATATAGGAATCTATTTAATAACTATGTTCCTAAACTCTAATAACTAAACATTTAAATTTTAAAGTCATGTATAGTATATCGTGAACGAGATCCTATGAAAATAAAAAATCATACTTCAATGCAATATGGTTTTTTATAGTTATTATGACTGAGGTATCAAAATATAAAGACAATATAAAAACTATCAATTAATTTAATTTTCTAATTATCTATCAAAAATCATAAAAATGTTTTAGAAATTACAAAATATATGGTTAAATTGTAAAATAAAGATTCTAACTACATTTATTTTTAGAAATAATTGAATTGACATTAATTCCAAAGATAGAACAAGACAACATGGTTTATTCCGATATCAGCGAATCAAAATAACTGTTCGACTATTTAATCTATATGCACTTATACAATATTTTATATTTTTATTTTCATGTATTTAAAAATACTTATTAACTTACCCGATTTCATAATAAATTATTTGAAGTATTTGGGACTTTTTGCGGCTGAAAATTGAGTAAAATAATATTAATGAATGTTATAACTTTGAAAGATCTTTTGAGTTAAGAAAAATAAAAAGATATCCGAGTGAGTCAAAATTTTGATAAATTTAAAAACAAATTATGTGGAAAAAATATAAAAGTCTTAAGAATATAACATTATAGTTTTGTAACGTTTTTATAAAATAAAAACGACATTTCTAAATAAATGGTATACTTTGTTTTATTGAAAGTATTTGAAACATCTGCTTTACAAACACCACAATGAGTTATGTATACTTCAAGATTCAGCTGAAAAAATAATGAAGATACACGGCTATAGTATAAATCATTTGTTCGTTATTAATTATTCAACCTTTTGAAGATTTTTTTTTTACTTTTACTTTTACGAAGATCAGAGTATAATTAATTATTGGCCTGCATACTAATGCATCTCCGCCCTTTATTGTAGAATCAAGGGAGATAAGAAAAAAATATGTAAAGTGAAAATAAGAAACCACAACATTATACTTAAACATAGTATTTGTTTTATTTTATTTAGATTTATAATTTTACAAACGATTTTCTATACTTAACACCGAAAAAATTTATGTTATCAAAAATGATTGAAGGTACTCATAAATGGCGGTCGTAAGCTTTAAAACAAGCCATTTACAAACTCACATCTTGATAATTAAAGTCAAACAATTTTGTCCCAAACCCTCCAGATTATAATTTGAATTAAGTAATTTCAACAACAGTTTTATGATATCAATATTCGCGTGAAAAATAAAACAAACAAAACTTGTTGCATTTCTCAAATGTATTATCAAATTCATGGAACACAAGTATAACCAACAAAAGTTTTTTCTAAAATTACTTCTATTAATCTCAAGTGTTTACCTTTGTTATACTCGTGCGTTATGACTTTAATTGGAAAACTGTATACCTATATATTATATGGAAGTAAGAGGCGAAAAACACCACCATAATAAAGAAAACGTTTTCCTTTGGGATTCCAGAAAATGGAAAACCTCAATGGCTCAATCACGTAAAAGTTACGATACTTTTTTAATCAAACTAATTAAAAATAATAATAATAATAGTTTATATTAATAATAATAAAAATATTAAACATACCTACAAGATTTTAAAAGAACTTAGATACTATAAAAATTATTAATAAAAATGCCACTATATGTATTTATACTGATAACAATTTATTACCAACGAACAAAGTATAATATTTGGGTATTAGCGATAACTTAATAATTAAACCACTTTTCTTGTGGGAGTAAAATAGAGTTTTATCAAGAAAACAATTACTCTCGCTGATATTGTGTATCGTGTTTTAACCAATTACATATTAATAACAATCTTTAGAATAATTTTTTGGTTTTTTTTTTTTCTTTAAATAACGATAGTTTTAAACCTCCACTGATATATATTATTATATAACTATATAGTGTGCCTAGAATAACTGAGTAAAATTACATGCAAACAAACAACCAAATGTATTTATTTAAGATGTTCTATCAGTAATACAAAATAGCAATTATTGTGAATTAATTGAAAACTATCAATGAATAAATAATAATATTGTAATTTTGCAACGTGTTTCGGTATTTCATCTATACTAAGAGCTTTTAACTTAAACGCCCACTATAATTGCTTGCAATTATAACTATGTTTTTTGTTCATATAGATTTTCGCTTATTTACTACAGGGAATACCTTAACATTTAACTATTATAAGAGTTTATGATGCGTATCAAATATGGTAAGATAAAATATCAATATATTTTCAAATAAGATATTTTTAGAATTTTTATTATTTTAAAAATGAAATGATTACAACTTAGTTTGAAAAGTATTATTATTCAGAAGTTTCAATAAAGTTTTACGCACTATATCCCAAAACTGTTATTTTTCACCTTATATTTTTTAATCTAAATCTTATATAATATTATAATATTATAACTTCAATAGTTCATATTTATATTATGAATTGTTACTAATTTAATGTTTCAATTTAATCTTTATTACAAATTAAAAATGTTCTTTCTAAGGACATTTTCATTTGAATCGTCTTAACATATTCTTATAGGATCCCTTTTATTATACGTAATTTTCGTGATTGTTTACGTAAATTTATTGTGACCACTTAAGTCTTAAAGGATCATACAGTATACAGAGGTACGTTATTATAATATATTATTATAGGTACTTAAAAAATATAACCTAAAATAATTTGATGACCAACTTTTTTATTGATTGTGAAAACTATGTAATAAAAAAATAATAATAATAATGTTATATTTATAAGCAATATTTTTATATAATAAACTTAAATTATTTCTTTTTATTTATGATTTAAATTGATATTTCTAATGTAATTTTTTCATAACTTATTTTTGTAACATATGAATAAAATAAATAGTTAAGTTAATCTAAATATATATCATATAAATTTAGATTTATAAAAGTTTACAAGTAAAATTAAATTTATAACTATTTATAAAAATGATTGTTCAAATCTTTTATTTTATTTGATTATTTAAATGTTTTATAGTTCTATTAAATTAATGTTTAAAAAGATAAAAATATATACTCGCAAATTTCAATATTTAACATATTTTATTTGGAACTTAACCCTTTACTTTTTGTAAAACCTAAATATCTAATAATTTAAAGATGAAAGCTTATAATTATCAAATTTAAAAATATATTTTGATAACTGTTTATTCAAATTATTATTAATTTTAGGTTACTTCTATTTTTAAAGCTGATATAATTTTATAAATGAAATTATGTTGTCGAGACTTTTTTTTTAAATAGTACCTACCTAATAACGTATTTAAAATAGTTATGATTATAACTAACACGAAAATTATACGTAGCTTATTTTAAATTACATTATAACACAAAATTTTGTTAGATAAGTGATCAATATAAACTGTTATGAAATATAATAAAATATAAAAATCATCTAATAAATATTACATTACGAGTACCCTAGAAAAGACAAATAAAAGTCGGAGCATTATTATTATTAGATAATATACATATTATAGACTTAATAAAATAAACAATAATAGTTAATATTTTAAATGATTAGTATATACTAGTATAATATAATATATTTCAGTCAAACTATGATTTCCTACATATTTCTTCAATAAATTCGTGTGCTCTAAGTCCTAAATCCTAATTATAATGCGTCATGGAGAATAATATGTAGTATTATAATAGTGATAAAAGAGAATTTTATCATGACGTATACCTATTGATAATATTTATAATATAATATATCACTGATTATGAACTTACATTGCTGCCAATGTATAACTTAATAAATAGAATAACTGTTACATTAACTTTACTGAGTTCGTCCACTATTTGTCTAACTCTGAAATATTTTCGACGATAATAAGCTCACAGCAATTTATCATATATACATAGGTACTAACCTTACACATGAAGGGTGGATTCAGTACGTATTACGATCAGAGCACTTTAAAGGAAAAATTATATAATATAGATATAGCCCCCCACAATACAAACCTTTTTAATATTATTTTTTTTACAACGGGAATAGCACTTGCCTCCAGTGCCCCCCCCCCCCCCCCCCGAATCCGCCCTTGCAGCACATATGATTTTAATGGTTGTTATTATTATTATTATTATTATTTTTTTTTCTTTTTTTTTTTAGTAAACGAACACAACATAAAATGTCGAAAATCTAGAACAGCGTTTACGAAGTATCAATTGGGGTGGCTCGAGGGAGAGTTTGAGAAATGTAAATACTTGACTCGATTAAGACGGTACGAAGTGGCTTTAATACTTGGCCTCACAGAACGACAAGTAATTATTATACTTTAGAATATTCTGTTATTATTCATATTATGTTAGGATTTTTTTATGAATCGTTAATTATCTTTCCGTTTCTCGTTGGTAACACATATTTTGTAAGCTTGTACATCAATTTGAATTTAACGTCGATCGTAGACGTAATCAGTTGAATTTATTTATTGATGGTTATAAAACTTTGATTCATTTGGATTAATATGTTTTATGCTCTGACTTCATCTATAAGCAATATTAGTTAATAAAAATTACAAGAATTTATTAAAAGTTGTTATGCTTTAAACTTAGCTACAACTTATGTATACTAAACATAAATCGCATGTAAATCATATGTTGTTATTTCAATTATATATTAAAATTTAAAAAAAAATATATGTTTATGATTAAAATTTTAAAATACTTAAAAAATTAAAAGTAAACAAATATTATAAGTATTGTAACATAAAAACATCTAGTTTACTAATACAAAATGATACCGTCTATTGATTATCTTGCATAGTGTAATTTATAAATAATATATAAACGTGTAATTTACATTTATCGTGTCTTAGGTAAAAGTATGGTTTCAAAATAGACGAATGAAGAAAAAAAGGCTGAACGACGATTCCATTTACGAGTAATAGGATAACGATTGTTTTACTTATTAGTATTTTAATCGTTAAGAGAGATCGTTGTATTACAACAAGTTTGTACAAAATCCGTGGCATTGTTTTATAATTATGTACATTAGTTTTTTTTTTTTCACGGTTTAAACCTTGATGGAATTTGATTGAATAAAATGGATTATTCACCTTCTAACAGAATTAAGAGTATTAAAAATTAAAAACCTTTTTATTTGTACACAATAATCACCAACAGTTTTTTTTTTTTTTATCTACCTTCAAATAACATGTTTTAGACTTTTCAACCTAATTCTATTTTGCTGTAAATAAACTCCATATCTCCATATATCATTGATTGTAACCAGCATTTATTTATTTATTTATTTTAAGTTATCTTTGAATCATAAAATGTTAAATTACTATAAGGACAATTCAATTTATTCTTCATACACCCTTGTCTTAAAATATCGTTGATTGATCTGTCTTGTTAATAAATAACTTATAATATAAAAATAAACAATTTATCTTTAAATTAATGTTGTCTTAATCAGAGAATACAACTTTAAAAAACAATTTTGTGTTATTTCTTATCCATTTTATTTGAATCTATACAATAGAAGTTTATAATTAAAATTAAAATTCTTTGTAACTAAACATGTTTAAAAGTCGTTAATGAAATCAAAACAAAAATAAACTCATCTGTTATCATTCTGATTTCTTTAATTATTAATGTTTCAGTCGGATTCACATACAATCAGTAAGTACGCCAAAACAGTTTTTTATTATCTTATCAGCTATTGTGCGTATACAATAGAATATTACTATACGCAACACCCTCTTTGTAATATTTTATCACATATAAGCTTATTTTAATCAAAAATATTATATTATTTTTGATTACTACAATTTAACTACTTTTTTAACCAATGAACTACTAAAATCACACATTTTAGAACCACATATTAGGTTTACGTCGGTAACGGCTGAACACATATTAATATTAACTGATGAGGTAGAAATAGACTAAGTACACATATCATATTCAATCGGTTATTTATAGTTCATGCAACTAAATCTTTATATCCTAACATAGTTAAAAGCTAAGGTACATAAAGCGAGTTAAAGCTTATTGCCCACCCGTGGTATCATTATTACATAATTTACAGGTAAACTATCCAATATATACTAACTAAAATACCGTAATTACAATTTTAGAGTGTCATTAAACTTTTAAGACAAGAATAATGATATAAAAAAACAGCTTGTCCTATAAACTGTATATATTAAACATTTTATAAAATCGTCTTTATGATTAATAAGTATTTTAAGTTAGCATTATATTAAAAGTGATATAACACTATTAAAATATTTATATTTTAGTGTAAGACATTTTATTAAAAAGAATATGTCAATGATCAATTCTTACACAAACAATGAACTACAACAGATATTTTTTTTTTTATTCTTTGAATTTGATTTATACACAATAATTTTTTTATTAAACATAAAATCAATGTACATAGTCATAATAATACTATTATTATTTAATAAGATAAATCTCAATGATATAAGATACAATAACATGTCATATTTTATAGGAATAATTACACGAACTCAATCCTGTATAGTTATATATGTGATTATTTGGAGCGTAATGTAACTATTTTTGACGCCAAATGTTTTGAAATAATTTATAAGTAATATTATGCCGGAAAAGAAACGGAAGAAAATGCTACTATATTTTGTGTTTATGAAGCGTAGGTTTTGAAGAACACTTTTCTATTTTTGGGATATACCGGTAATTTATGATTTTTGCTAAGTATAAAATATGCATTATGAGTGTGTATAATATATTACCCAGATGATGTATAATGTCTTTAAAGAAGTAAATATTTTAAACATTTTTAAATTCATATTTTTAAAGTTTCATGATTTCATGGTTAAAAACAGATTTTAAATTAGAAAAATTATTGTTATATTCATAAAATGTACCTATACACTAATTTTATTGGTTAAATTAAAAACCGAATATTTAAGATTTTATTTTAGATTCAGGCAGATAATATTAGTAATATATACATAGTTTATTTTTTATTTGCTTGTGACTAAACACAAGATGATATGTTGTGTTGTTTAATTCAAAACGTATGGCCTTAATAATTAAAAAATGTTATAATTATTTTATCAATGATAAGAAATAATTAAACTATTATCGTGTTAAATAGCTTAAACGTGGATATCTGAACAAAAACATACCTAATCCAATTAGATTACATATTTACTATAGAAATTTTACCAACTTTGATGTTATACCGTGAGTAAAAAAAAAAAAACAATGATATTCTGATATTTGTTTCTAGTGTGCAGCTGCAAAAATAAACGAAAAAATCTCCTTAAAAAGTAAAATAATTATCATGGTTAGATTTCTCGAAATAAAATTTTATACTTCTCTGTATTCAAAGGTTTGAACCATCTTACGAAAGACGTAAATAATCAGGGTTTTAATAAAATGGTTATGAATGCATCTAATGCTACGGTTTCAAATTTTCAATAATAAAATTAAGTCTAAAATTGTAGGAAATTTAAGATTAAAATATAATTTTAATCGCAATAATATTTTACTTATGATATTTATTTATTTTTTTTATTTATTTATTATAATTAAAATGTTTCAGCATAATAAAATTACATGCTATTACAAGTTTTTTTACATATACAAGTTACTTAATTATTATTTAGTTAGTTATTGATCTTCGTTTTCGCTGGAATCTGAAAGAAGGAGATATTGCGGTAAACGAGGTTTTAGTCGTCGATTTTTTTTGTTTTGTTTCCCAATTTGTAGAAACGTGCACCATCGGATGAATTCAGATTTGCGTGAAAGTTTATGAACTGGATTGTTATCCAGTCTTAGAATAGAAGAATTCCATAATATTTTTAAAATATAAATGTTTTATAATATGTTCAATATGACAGGAAAGGTTAAAAAAAATTAATAAATTTAAGTTTTCTGATAACATTTTCATTTTTAAATTTAATAAGCAAGTAATACTATACCTTACTTTGGTGAATATTTCAGATTAATGGTTGTTAGAAAAGTAAAATCAGAATGTTTCATGAATAATTTATAAATACTATTATAACAAATGACTACGATCTGTAGTTTTAAGATTAACATTGCGAAATTATTATAAAGCCTAAATATTGAATAAAAAAATATTAGTCATATAACTCATAAAATAATGATTTTATTCAAATTCTGTTTTTTTAATGTTTAATTACACATGTAGATCAAATTTTAAAATGTTGAAATTTATATCATTATGCGCTATACGTATAATAAAATTATACATAAATATTTCATTAATTGTAAATGTTAATATTGAATATTAATACATTATAATTTATATTTATATTATAATTAAATCATGATTTATTTAAACCAAGGAATTTAAATACTCCTACTTTGTTCGTACAAGCTTATATGTACGTAAATATAGGGATAATTAAATATTTTATTATCGCTATTTTATTTTATTTGTAAATAATTAAATTGAACGAAAGTGTTAAAATAATAAAACAAAAATGAAATAAGTAACGATAAACATGTATACACCAAGTCATAATAATTTTTGAATAGTCTCTACCCTCTCGTAGTTACGTCAACGAACGACGACGGACACTCAAATGAAGCCAACTGTATTTTATTATCTGTGAAACATGGCCTGAACAATTTTTTTATACAGAACCTCAGAGATCATCGCCTAGAATTAATCAACAATCATGATATTACTCCATCCATAAAGGCATTAATTATTCAAGCCCGTAGAAAACCATCGTGGTGGAATTTTTTTGGGTGTAGTCTAGACATAGGTCTCGAATATCACTAGATCTGAGTGGTCTAACGATGGAATGATAATATATAATATTATTTATTATGCATAATAATTGGACTAAAATAAATGATTATACTGAATAAATATTTATAACAAACATGAAAAATAATGAGTCAAATAATAATAAAATTTTATATTTTATTAGTATCTGATGACTTTTGTGATGACAAACTGAATAAAACGGTGAAGTTTAAAATTATTTATTCTTCGTAGATTCCTGTAATTATTGCAAACAGAAAAGTATCATTTACCATAATACGTGTTCGCGCGATGATTCACATCACGACACAGTCAGATGAAATTCCAACGAAATGCATTATTTGTACACCATAATACGTTACAATTATAAACCACACTGAGGTATTGTGGGCAAAACCAACTCTAACCACCACCACATGATAATTATTATTATTACTATTATGTAACCACGATTGGATTTTCTACATCTCCTATAAGAGCTTAAGTCCTTAATTTTAACTGTCATTTAAATCGTATGGTATTATAATCCTATAACTTAAAATATATTTCAAAACATTGTCATTTGTAATATAAGTGTATTTACTTAAACAAACAAATGTTTGACTAAAATATCACATTATTAATAAAATACATATTGGGCATGCAATTAACGATAAACAATGTATATTTATAAATTGTTTAGGGTAAATTGTACATTATTTATGTGTATAATATATTTATATAGTGAAATAGCCCAAATGTTTTAAAGTATTAAATATTTTCCCGGGTTACGATAGAAGAAAAACTTCGTTGGTTTTTTCTTTTGCTACAGCAATATGAAACCGTGTAAATGGAACTCGGTTTTTCATAAGTGATCCAAATAAATTGGCCCTATAAATCCCGCAAATTGGTGACGTCTTCCAGTCCGGAAATAATATACGGTCTGATGCGCAAACTTGATTACTATACCTGTAAACTCAAACTTGTCGCTGGGCTCAAAATCATTGTAAATTATGTCCGTGTGTTATTCACTTCTTTTTTTCTTTCGTTTCACGTCCAAGAAAATGTGAACGTATTAATCGTTTACTAGACAAAAAAATCAATGTCAAATTTTATTTACTATTATAAAATTATATTTTGCTAATATTATTAATATTTTGATTACTCTGACTAAATTGTATAGTGCTTAAATCAAAATAATTGATTTACTATAGTAAATGTCCAAAAAAAACTGTCGATAGGCGCTACATCATGTCTACATTTTATTAAAATCACATATGTAATTAACCATAATTATGAAAATATTGATTTATAAATTCATATTTCATGTAATGATTTTAAGGAGTTAATTTAATTTTTTTTTATTATAGAATAGACT